AAAAAAAAAAAAAAAAAAAAAAGAATGCTTGATCTAGCAAGCTGGTCATGGGTCTATAGCAATTCCAAGGAATAGGTGACTCTAGGAAGACTTGTCAAGTCTTGTTGCTGAACTTTGGCTTAGGACTAGAAGGCTGGGTATAAACATTGCCATCCAGAGAGTCAGGTCAGGCTAGTCATCCAATTGGGTCCTGACAGTCAAAGCGAAACCCTCTGGGAAAGATAGGATTATCAAATTCATGTGAGGTGCCCAACGGATCTATTTCAAAGGCACAAGTGGCAGCTAGAAATGTCGATTACCCAATCTCTTCTTACCATTCTTCTCCCCTCTCCCAGGTACTCACTGCAGCTATCCTCATCTCCTTGATGGGCTGGAGATATGGCTGCTTCAGTAAGAGTGGGCCCTGCCGAAGTGTAAGCACCAGATTCTACTCTTCTAATACCTAGAATGTCCCCACATCCTATTACTCTATAGGCAGACTGGTAAAGAGGCAATTTCAGTCTTGGGGCTTGAAGTCAGGTCCTGACTGTACCCTTCATATCCCTAAGCTGTTGGGCAAGTTCCTTAACCTTTCTGAGCTCAGGTCCTCATCTATAAAATGGGAGTGAACAGGATCAAGTTAAGGGAGTAAGTGCTTAATGAGCCAGAAATGTCTATATACATGTGAGGAACTGCTACTAATTACTTTAACCTACTGAACAATATGGACATGAGTTAAATGCACTGCACTCATGTGTCATTGATAGAAAATTTCCTGGGGGGGCGCCTGGGTGGCTCAGTTGGTTAAGCGACTGCCTTCGGCTCAGGTCATGATCCTGGAGTCCCTGGATCGAGTCCCGCATCGGGCTCTCTGCTCGGCAGGGAGCCTGCTTCTCCCTCTGACCCTCCCCCCTCTCATGTGCTCTCTCTCTTTCTCTCATTCTCTCTGTCTCAAATAAATAAATAAAATCTTTAAAAAAAAAAAAGAAAAGAAAATTTCCTGGGGTGCCTGGCTGGCTCAGTGGGTAGAGCGTGCACTCAATCTCCAGGTTGTGAGTTCAAGCCCCATGTTGGGTGTGGAGTCTGCTTAAAAAAAGAAAGAAAGAAAGAAAGAAATGTCCTGGCTGTTTTGTTTAATTTTTCTTAGAGTTGGAAGGTTTTCCAGAAATCATCTAATGACTAGATTCTAGTCTAACCCCTCCATTTTACAGAAAATGAAACTGGGGCCCAGAGTAAATTTGCACTTACAACTACAGTGGCATTCATATATATCTGAAAAATCTCACTACGTAGGTAGTATAAGATATATTGCTTATTCAGTCTCAGACACATGAATTTGTGGCCTCCTTACAGTAACTCTAGAGCCTACTTTGATATCTGCCGCCCACGTATTGGGAACCCCACTGATTCAGAGTTATATGTTAAAGAATTAAATATAAACACCCACACATTTCATTCGCTATCTGTTCTCAGTCTCGTCTGGTTTTCCCCTAGGCGAGTGAGTTGTTCTCAGACTTGTGTGTGCATCAGAATCCCTTCAGGGTTTGTTAAAACATATTGCTGGCTCCACCCCCAGATTTTCTTTCTTCCTTTTTTTTTTTTTAAAGAGATATTGTCTGAGGAAAGGAGAAGGTAGGAGAGACAGGAGAGTTGACTTTATTTTATTTATTTATTGTTTTTAGAGGTGAGGGAGGAGGAGAGAGACAGGGAAAGAGAGAATCTTAAGCAGGCTCCACGCCCAGCGCAGAGTCCGATGCAGGGCTTGATCTCATGACCCTGAGATCATGACCTGAGCTGAAATCAAGAGTCAGACGCTTAACCGACTGAGCCACCCAGGCGCTCCAGCCCCAACTTTTCTGGTTCAGAAGGTGGAATGAAGCAGGAAGTTGTCCATTTCTAACAAGTTTTCAGGTGATGTGATGCTGCCAGGGCCGGGACCCCATTTTGAGCATTTCCCTGGCTCCTCCCCAGTTCCCAACTAGTGTGACATTGTGGGAAAAGGACTCTATGATTCCATATAAAAATTATATCTATATTTTATTTAAATTTTTAAAATATGTATTCTTTCGAAGGGAGAAAACGACCTTGTATTCTGAGAAAGAAGCCAATTTAAAAGCAAGCTAGACTCCTGCCAAGGAAATGAACTCATTGTTATCTTTGGGGAGGGAAGTGAGTGGTGCACAGACTAAGCGCAATGACAGAACAGGAGTCCCTTCTGAGCTGACTGCAATTTCTGTCTCTGTCTCCCTCCCTCCCTTCTTTTCTACCTCCTTCCCTCTTTCCTCCCTTGTTTCCTTTCATGTTTGGTTTGAGAAAGAGAGGAATCAGGGGTAGGAGCTTGGAACTTTCGGAAATACAGCTTTCCCTTAAAAGAGTCAGAAATGAGCATGCGGGGGATGCGTGGGTGGCTCAGTCGTTAAGCATCTGCCTTTGGCTCAGGTCATGATCTCAGGGTCCTGGGATCGAGCCCCGCATCGGGCTCCCTGCTCGGCGGGAGGCCTGCTTCTCCCTCTCCCACTCCCCCTGCTTGTGTTCCCTCTCTCTCTGTGTCTCTCTCTGTCAAATAAATAAA